CATTTCAACCTACACTTTTTATGACCACACTGTTAACAAAATGTTAATAATTAACTAATGTTGCTGTTGTTATTATTATCATTTATCAATATTATATTCACCAAATTGTTTATGGAACTAGTTATTTTAATTTTTAGTCATAATTATCTATTTTTAGATTGTATAATTTGTTTGCTTAGGAAAGTATAATATGAATCTTAAAATAAGTTTTTAACATAGATGTAAATATGTAATATATAAAAATATAAAACTAAATTTTTATTCATGAAAATATAATTTTACTGTGATAAATTTAGTATTTAGTTAATTATTATACATATATCTCTTCAAAATTATGTTTCATAAATTTTTAAGATAAATTTTAAATGTAAATTGATTTTTCTTAATAAATTTCCACCTTTATTCATAATTAATTTTATATTCATTCTAATTTCTAATTTAAAAGATAACAAAATTGCAAAACCAAAATGAGGCCAATTTTGCATTCTGCTCAACAAAAATTTAAAAATTAATTCTTTAAACGGGCTCTATAATAATAATGAAACCAGAGGATGTAGTGCTTGTCAGCTCAGAGTGCTTAAAGGATCATTACAATGTGAGGATTAAAAGGAACTTATTGGAATGACTGATTCAATTGTAAACTTAGTTCTTAAGTTGAATGAACTTCTGTGAAATTCAGACCTCTATCTGAGTTAAGGAAATTTTATAGTCTTTAGATACTTATATGAACTAGTCTTTTATAGCAGACAAGACAGGAAAAAAAATTCAATAATCTGCATTTTGAGAAACGAAAGATTTCACTAGAATTATTGAGATAAATTTTAAATCCAATTGTTATGGGGATACCCTTGTTAGGTATATGAGACTTCACATATGTGGGGATCACCCATAAATATGTGGAAAGGTTTTTGTGAATCAAAGGATCTTGTTATGGGTAAGGTAAGGTTAAAGCGGAATTAAGATAGAGGAGCCACCTCTGCTGTGATGGCCGAGCGTGTTAGTGCGAATAGGTTTGGTTGTACCTCTAGAACAACCCCTTTCCCCCCTCTCTCCATATGTCAGAAATGATGGGTTGGGAGTAATCCAGTAACAAAAAAAAAAAAAAAAAAAAAAAGAGGAACACGGATAACATCTACAGCGATTTTTAAAGTGACCTATCACTTGAATAGATTTAAATAGCTTAGATAGGTCCTTGGACATTGCTAAGTACAAGAAACTTGTGAGGACCACCCACAAACTTGTAATTTTGTAGGAATCAAAAGATCCCCTTCATAATAGGATAAGTAGGAAAGGATAAGGAAAAAGGGGAGTAGCGGAAACCTGAATAATGAAATACAGCTCTATTGTTCAATCAAGGATTGGAAAGGGTGAGTCTCTATAAGGGAATAAATCTAATAACCGAGTAAAACAAAATATGAAAGTTCCATATGTATCTGACAGAGATTCCAAGAGGCTTAAAAGAGATGAACTGACTTGCCTCAGTGTCATGTGTAAATAGCTTGCTGAAGGATTCATAGGTAGTACCTCCCTGAGTTGTTTTGATTTTCATTGAGGAAGCCTTCCTTCTTAATCCTCATGATCTATATTGAACATTTAGAATCGTCCTGGAAATAACTGTGTAGTCTCTCAGGATTATTTGGATTGATTTTCTATTATCTCATAAGTTAACGTATTTAACAGGATAGAATACTTTGTTAACAGTTTTTCAAATTACAAGAAGACCCTATTAAAATATAACATAATAAACGTCATATTATGTGTACGTATCATACGTTCAAATATTGGTTTTTACAAACAGACCGATGAAATAAATAAAAAAAATATGAAAGTAGTTTTTAAGATTATATAAGAGGAAAATGGCCTAATAGAATGTATTACAATGTATATAGATAAATAAATCGTAGGCAAGAACCAAAAACCAGAGCCCAACCTTGGGATGAGGAGGGCCTGGGTCCAGGATGAAACACTTCTAGTCCGAAACCCCTGGAAAAAAATTGACAATCTGAAGAAAATTTGGAAGCATTTTTTTTTAATGGAAGCTGGAAAAGAAGCCTATACTACACATAGCAGATAATAGACAAGAATAATTCAGTAGAATAAACAGCCATACCAGTGGCGGATCCAGAAATTTTCTCAGGGAGGGGTGGCACACCTCTGTACCAGGTGCTTCTCCCACCCCTAACCGTTCCTCTACCACTACCCATCTTCCCCCACTCTTTAGCTGAGTGCAGCCTCTCAAAAGCCGTCTTAAATCACAAAACTTTAAGTTCATACTTTCCTTCTGAAAATTGAACCAATGTTTATATAAGCTTCTTTGTATTTCTTGAGTTCTGCAATCACTTCTATAAATATTTCCCTCTACTTACGGGAAATCCTGTATGTGGGTTTAGACATGTAGAAAACAAAATTGCTAACATGGGTTACTAAGAGAAACCTTTTTACAGCCAAAAAATCCAGATTTAGATGATCATTTTTTTTTCATGTAATACTACTAAACAGTATATCAAAGCGAATAACATATTCTTTAAGAAATTAAAGAACGTTAAATTGTGCGTCGAACGAGTACCTAAACTTAATAATTTTATTAAGTGATATGGTCGATAACCACGGTAAATAAACGCTAATTTTTACCAACATTGTCAAAATCTGACAGATTACTATAAATGGCCTTGCAGCTTGGAAATAAGTTCTATGAGAAAAAAAAACTCAGAATAATTTGTGACTCCGATCAAATCGGAGACCAAATAATTAGTACCTTCCTTCCTGAAAACGTTCCCAACAGCAGATATATAAAAAAAAGAACATCACTTTCTAATGAGAAATATACAAATTATTAACGTGACTAGTTCTATGAAGCGCATGGATCCTTCTAGAAGACCATAGTTGCTAGAGGGTGCAATGCGTCCAGATCTATTGGAACTGAATAAAAATTGGGTCCGGGGGAAAAACCGTATTTCCTTGAGCTCGAATAAATAAATGAAGTTCATTTTTTGGTTTTTAAATTAATTTTCCTGCATCATGTATTTCACCTGCGAGACTCAGTTCGGAGTCAGTAGGAACAAACTGCGACAGGAGCACAAGCCTTCGCATCCCACGGCGGCCCAAAACCTACATAACTTATGAGCCCTATGAGCCAACTTTTGCTCTTACATTCTATTCTTTGTTTCTCGAAATATCGCCGTGCTTCAAAGGCCGGTCTCAAGTTGATCCACAGCCTGGTGAGGTGAAGTGATATGACAAACCGTAATATTAATAAAAATGGTCATAATAATATTTTTTTAAATATTACATTAGAAAATTTGTCTATGAGAATGAATTCAAGCTATGTTCCTCTTTTCTTTAAATAGCTGCTTTTTGTAACTTTTTCGGAATTTTTTGCCCACCATCCTGGAAGAGGCCCCCCCGCTTGCAGAATTCGCTAGTGCTGGTCACAACAATAATTTTTTTAATACATTACATTAGAGAATTCATCTACAAGGATTAATTTTCCTTATATTTCTCTTTTCTTTAAACAGCTGCTTAAAATATTAATTTTCAAAAGGAAAGTCCTTCGGAAGATATTAGGCCCAGTTAAGGAAAATCAGACGCAACCAAGAACAAGCCAACTCATACAAGGAGCTGGATGTAGTGAAATATATCCGGATAGCAAGGCTGAGTTGCGAGGGCCAAGTTGTACGGATGGACGAGACCTCAATCCTAAAAAAGCTGCTGAGCATGAAGCGGGTGAAAAAAAAAAAGTGACCTGACCGAAACTGAGATGGAAAGATAGAGTAAGCTCTGATGCCAGAATCCTTGAAAGCAGGGACTAGTGGAGGTTGCTCAGGGCAGGGAAACATGGAGGAAAACTTTTGAGCCAGTCAAGATCCAGGTATGGATTTTCGAGCTCGGTATGATGATGATGACATTAAAATAATCGTCTTAGAGGATGATTTTAGGAACTTTTTTTTCGGAATTATACTTCCACCATCCAGAAGGAGGGCGTCTCTTGGCAGAAATCACTAAGCACTAAGCACCAGCACGGTCACGATAATAACTTTTTTTTTATATTACATTAGAAAATTCGTCTATGAGGATGAAATTTTCCTATATTTTTCTTTTATTTAAAAAGCTGTTTTTTTTGGAACTTTTTCCCATCACCCAGGAGAGAGAGGGACGCACTCCCCGGCTGGATCCGCTAATACTGATCACGATAGTATTTTTTTTTATATCACATTAGGAAATTCGTCTTAGAGTATGTAGTGTGCCCTCTGAGCCGCTAGTGACCCATACAGTCCAAATATTTAAAATCACAGATACCTATATAGCCTCTTTTCAGCTATTTGGAGATTACCGGTTTCGAGCGGAGTAAGTGACCTTAATCAAAACTGTTGATACTCACTGGACGCGGAATCATATGCTCCACAAATTTTATTCTATGAGTTTTTTCCCTTAGAAAACTCATTTTCAAGCTGCAGGGTCATTTACAGTAATTTGTCTCAGTTTTTTAACAAATCGGAAAAATTAATGTTAGTTGACCTTGGTTATCAACCATATCACTTAACGAAATTATTAAATTAAAGTAGCCGTTCAACGCAAAAATTAGCTTCATTAATTTCTTAAAGAATACGTTTTTTGCTTTATGCACCGTTTAGGAGTTATGAGTGAAAAAATAAAAATAGATTGAAGAAATTGTGATTTTTGGCTGAAAAAAATTTCCCCTGGTGGTCCGCGTTAGTAATTTTTTTGTATGTATAAACCCCCTGTATATAACATTAAAAAATAAAAACTTTTCCCGCATTTATCCCCATAAATTTTTCGTTTCGATCCTCAAGCTACCAGCCTAATATTCTTTAAATCAGCCACCATTTTTTTCGGCAATATGATTCTTGTATTAAAAGAAAAAATAGTTCCAAAATTTTCTTCAGATGTCAATTTTTTTTGCACCGGCTCTTGGACTATTGCAGTCCAGATTCCACTGCCCTAATCTAATATGCATTGGCCCCACAACTTTGTATTTTGTTATTAAAGATGCTATTTTAGACTCATAGCTCTATGACTACTTTTAAGACTAACTCGTTAGTGATCGATCATCAGTCATCAATTGATAGGGCCATGTGATTTTGTTTGAAAGCAACTTTTAAGTTTGTTACAATCACTGTTTATTTTCATAGATACATCACTGTTTGTTAAACATTACTGTTGAAGTTTTTAGATAGTATCCTCCGAATGTAATCATTGGTTTTATCTTTTTTCAAAATGACTATGGATGAAATATCCTTAAATATCTGCACAGAGGCTCCAGTGACATCTGTATGCATTTAAAATGTATGAGCATTCTTGTTTGTCAAGTACTTATTTACTATAGGTTTTTTGTTTAATTTTAGAAAAACAAGAAGACACCTCTTAAAAATAGCGATTATTCTGATGGTATTGAAGAAACAAATAATGACAAAGTGCCTTCAAATAAAAAAAACAAAAAGAAGGGTAAGAAATCTTCATTGTTTGAAGATCATTTGGACATTCCTGCTTTAGAGTTAAATGATGAATTTACACAAGTTGAAGAGTCACTTTTTTCATTACGAGAATTCAAAGATTGCAGCAACATACATCCATATATCGTGAGTATTATTCAATCTATCTATGAATATAAATCTTTTTAAAATATTGCTTTCAAAGTGGTGTTCTGTTTAAATTTTGTTAGTTCAAATTATGTAGACTTATACTTTTTATAATATAATTTATGTATGAATTATAGTGATTTAACTACATTTTCATGTTTGGCACGTTTTGGCTGTCACGCCATTCTTAGTCATAAATGTTATGTATATAATGGAGCTACATTCAAATTACATATTCTAAGTGTGATTGTTAAGGTTTGCAAAAATAAATAAATAAAAATATATATGTATAATTAATTAATTTAATGAAAATACTACGTACCACTGCACTTGTACCCCTCTGCCTATGCATAGAAGCTCTACAATTTGCACTTTGAAGACACTGATATGAAACAAACTCCAAAAATCAAAAAAATAAAATCTATGCTTCATTCCTCACTGTTTAGTGTCATAGAAATAAAAAGTGCGGTACTAGTTCACAACAGTTCCGCACGGATTATGCGTGGTTCACAATCAGTTCGATCAGACTTGTTCATGGAATCCCGAAAACAGCCGAATGTTGTCGTCTTTTGTGACGTCAGCTATTTCCCCATCACACAACCCCTTTTCATGCATTTTTGAAAAAAAAAAACCAACGTACTCCCTTCATGGAACTTCCTTACTAACAATTTATTAACGAATTGTGTTTTACTAATTATTCAATTATTAATTTTTATTATAATGGTTACCATTGTGAAATAAAAAGGAAAAAATACATAAAATAATGTTTGAGTCGTTTCTTCAAGGCCTGTTAAAAAAAAAAAAAACTTTTAGAAATAACATTTTTATTGACACGTGCTTACATGTAGTGGCTGTAAATACGAATATACTGTATATTATCTTTTATAACTGTGTATAAAAGATTTTTTTATCATTTTCATAATAAATAATTTGAAGTAATCTATTATCTTTTTATTTGTTTGTTATTGTTCGAGTTTTTCAGTAGAAGTTGGAATAATTGCATTTATAATTTATTTTAGCAAGCCGTTTTTAGTTTGTCATCTATCTAGTTTATGTAATTTTTTGGATTTCTAATAATAGGAGCATCAACTATTTTCTAGTGGGGGGAGGGGAGCTCTTTGTATGCATATACTGTCAGATTTGAGATTAAGCATCAAGTTTATGTAACTTTTTTGAATTCTTAGATATACGGATCCACTATTTTCTAGTCGTCGGAAGTTTTTATGAATATACTGTCGGATTTAAAATTGTTCGTCGATTTTTTCTAGATTTTTGGATTTCTAAGATATAAGAGTCCACTATTAAGTTGTCAAAGACGCTTTTTATAAAGATAATGTCAGATTAAAGATTTATGAATATACTGATAATTCCAAGATAATGATTAATGAAAATCATCAATAAGAAAAATAATATCGTGAAATAGCATTCAGAGATGTAATAATTAAAGGTTTTTATCTATTACTGTTTCTATTTTACAGATCTATGATATATAAACAAGTTCAATTCAGGTTTCATGTAAGTCAGCTCCTGCTATAGAACTGAACATGGTTAAGGTTATAGAAGTACTTATTAAATGGCGGGAAAGTTAATATAAACTGGCCCAAGAGATCGGTCGCCTTCGTTCTCTTTCGGATAAACCCGAACGCATTCGGGATTCCAGGAACAAGTGTGACCGTAGTGATTGTGAACCATGTGTAATCTGTGCGGAACTCTTGTGAACTAGTACCCATAGTGCTCTTCTTAAAATTCATTTTCTATTTTATCTCTTTAACATTTACTTCAAATATTCTTTCCTACAATATGTTATTTCTAGTAAAAAAAATCAGAGTTTTGTCTAACTTTACTTCTCGGAATTTCTATAAAACCTTACATCTACATGATAGACGATTACCAAAATCTATGATCAATATAGTAGATACCTAGTTAAATCATAAATTAGATTACTATTTCATCCAAATAATTATTTCTTTTTTCCAGATTTCTGCTCTTGAACAATTGTTTAGCATTACTAAGATGACTACTGTTCAGCAATTATCAATTCCTCCCTTATTGGCTGGTCAAGATGCTCTTGTGAGGTCTCAGACTGGAAGTGGGAAAACCCTTGCTTATGCTATTCCGATTTTACATGCGTTGCAGAATATCAAACCAAAGATTGACAGGACTAGTGGTGTCAGAGCTCTCATTGTCCTTCCTACAAGAGAATTGGCCCTTCAGACATATGAATGGTTTCTGAAGCTTGTCAGGGTAATTTTAAATTTTGGATACTGCCTATTTAAGGTTATATATATAATGTAAAGTTTTCGAATTTTAAATAGTATTGAGAAACTACTTTAGAGGCGAGGTGAAAGAAAGTTGTGCAATATTTTGTAATGGGCATCAGTATTCGTCACTAAATCTATATCGTCATTATATATCATATTGGAAATTTGGAAAAAAAAAAAAAAAATGAAGATTTGGAAACCTCATATTGCCCATATCTCCAGAAAGTCAATTGGTACTCTTAAACTATTCAATCGTTTCTGTTATAATCTTTCACTACTTATCCGCAAGCTCCTCCTTTCCTCATTGATTTTCACCCATTTTGACTATGGCTGTGTGGTATATGATGGCCTCTTGATTGTGCTAGAGGATAGATTGAAGAAAATCTTCAACTGTTTATTGAGATTTGATTTCAGTACTTCGAGATGCTCTCATGTGTTCCGTCTGTGTAATGAGTTAAAATGGCTTTTCCTCTTCTTCTGCCGCCAATACTTCCTTGGAAATTTCTTGTACCAAGCGATCAGCTCCCAGCACTCTTCCTATATCTACCATCTCATTCAGCTCAAATCCTCAGTCTGCTCACAGAAAACAAAATCCCTTGTCTCTGACTTCTGTATTCTGTAAAACCTACAGATGTTCCTTCCTAGCCTGCTCTGTAACCTTCTGGAATCCTTACCATCTTTGTCATGCCTCTTCCCTGTCATATTTCAAATACCTTTTTTTCCAGTACCTTCTTACATCCCAAACAAACTATCTGCAAATGTAAAATTTCTTTTTCTCAACTGAATTTTATTATAAGTAAGTAGTTATATTAAGTAACTGTTAACATGAAAACTCAATCCTTCTTCTTTACTTATTTTTTTTATTTTTTCATTTCTCCAGTTTTTGTTTTTTCTTTCTATATTTATAGAATAGCTTATAGTGTAATAGACACACACACAGAGTAATGAGTGAAAATACATCTTTTTATCTCAAAATTTATTGAAAATGACTCAATTTTATCAACAGTCATATGCATGTGGGATGGACCAACCCCATGTTAAAATAATAAAATTGCAATAGTATGAATTAATTATTTTTTATTTATTTTTTTTCTTACCCTCCAAAATGTTTATTGAAACAATTTACATATATAGTATACAATATATACAAGTAACAAATTCCTTCCACTGCCCGAGGGCATTTTAAGGATTGGGGATAGCTAAGGGTTACATATGTGGCAGAAGGCCTTGTGACTTTCATTGAACGGGGAAGGACCGTTCTGCTAATTTTTTTTAATTTACAATATATACAAATTAATGAGTTTGGACCGCAGAGACCAGACCACATCCTTCAGCGAGTATGTTCACAAAAGGGAGTTTACCATGCCACCTCCCAGGTCTGGGTGGTGGTGAGATCTCATTGAACAGTGGGTTTGCACTGGCCTTCAGCCCATCAAAAAATTTGATGTGCCTCCGGCCTATGAACTCAGGTACCGAGGGGAGCTGGAGCTCCTCGCGTATTGTTTGATTCTTAGCCCTTTGTAGGGTGGTGCCACTGACAATTCACCGAAGGATAGAGTTCTGGAAGCCCTGTTGGCTCGTAAGCGTGGATTTATATAGGTATCGCAGGAGAGGGTCCCCGTGGAGCAGTATAGGTCTTATAATAGCTTTATAAATTTGGAGCATGAGTCTCAGCGAGAGCTGCGGCGACGTCAGTAGGTGGTACAGCCGGTGTGACTTCTTTCGTGCCAGCTTGATCCTCTGCCTAACGTGATTGGAGAAGGTCAAATGTCTATCCAGCGTGACGCCGAGGTAAACAATCGAGGTAGAGATGTTATGATAAGCTCCTCCAACGGTGAATTGTGTGGGTAGATGCTTCTTTCCCTTCTGAAACGACATGACAATAGCATCAATCTTCGCAGAATTCACTCTGATACCGATCTCTTCTAGTTCTTCAACAATTGTGGCTGAAGCATTCTGTGCCAGAGTGAGTCTCCGCGTTGATGCTGGAAGCATATATGCCAATGTCTTCCGCATAGGCTGCTACCACCGCCTTTGGATGCTTCAGTGAATGAATTAATTATTCATTATTTATCTGCAATTATAATTTAATTTAACAGTCATGTTTTCGGGATGGTGGCTCAGTTTGGAAACTGTTAAACATTAATTATTAATTTTGACTTTGTTTTAGTATCTTACAAAAATAACCCTGCATTATTTTATCTTTAATTAATGCTAATTTTTTTATTTCCTTTTTTAGGCATTTGCGAGAATAGTTCCTGGAATATTAATTGGTGGAGAGAAACGCAAATCTGAAAAAGCCCGTCTTAGGAAAGGGATCAACATATTAATAGGTAAAAGAAAGTATAGATTTAGTTTAAAGCAGCGTATTAATCAGTTTCAATAAAGTAAAAAAGGGGGAGGCAAAATCTATTTAGAATGAGTATGAAATAAAAAAAATGATTTCTCTATTAATGAGTAAAGGGATCATTGCCGACTTTATATATGGGACCTACAAAGGAAAAAGGATGAATCCAAATTAAAAAAGAAACTTTTTTCTTGATCAATTACAAAGGTTTATTATTGAAAATAATAAACCAAACTATGGCTGGATATTTGCAAGTAATTGCCCAATTTTGATCTATTTTCTATTTTTGTACTGTATGAAGTTAAATCCCCATTCAAATTATTATGGATGTAATCAACCAAAAATTGATTAATTTTTGACATTTCCAAATAAATTTTTGTCTTCTTTACAACTTTTTTTTTTTTACTTTTTCTGGAGGATTTATTTATTCTTCAGCTTTAGTAGAAGAAGCCATCTTCGAAATGATTGGTTTTGATGAAGTATCAAGGGATATATTAATATTTAGAACTGATAATATATATATTAAAATTTACAATAGAATATTTACAAATTCTCTGTTACTTTTTGAATTTTCTGAACCTTAAAATTATATATTTTAAATAAATCATAGACTATTTAATTGTGATACATTATTTTAAAAAATATCAGGTTGAAATGGGAATAAGAAGCTTTTGAATACATTTGAAATTTTAAAATTAAAATGATAAAAGAGATCTTACAAACGAAACAAGAGTTTATCTTTTTTAAGGCTTCAAATAAATCTTATAATATTTGTAAACAAGAACAGACTTGAATTTTCAAAAGCTAGTAGCTTGCTGAACAAAAGTTAATTTTTATGACCGATTCATACTTGAATGTCATAAATGGAATATCACTCACTATGAGGCCGACTGGCCACTGAAAGCACAGCTGAGCTGAGCGTAGCTGAATTAGTTTTCAAAATTGAACCAAAGGTTTTCAACAAGAGGCCACCAACCAGAAACTGAGCGCGTAGCAAGGGTCAGCTTTGGGTCGACCGGGATTTGGTTTTGGAAGCTGACTCCACTAGGCTCTGCTTCCCCCACCACACCTACTCACCACTGTCACACAACCTTGGGGCTTTGTTCCAGAGTGTCATCTTTTTTTCCTGCTCGTTTTCACTGCAACTTCTCAAATTATTTTATTTTGGTTCAGTGTAAAATATGCTATCGATGTGGAAGAATTCTTTATCGAACTTGTAAGGGAAAATATTCGATGTTATACACAAATATTCAATTTTTCTTTTCAACTCCAAAATGATCAACTTTGCTATTTTTTAAAAATGTTATATTTGCTATGTATACTTTTTAAAAATATTATACGGAATATGAGAAGGGCACTGATGCAAGGCAAGTTGCTGAGTGAGATGAGCTCCGCTATGCTATCTATGCTAAATTATTAGATCATTCTTCATTATTTTTATTTTCAATTTTTTATTTTTTATTATTAACTGATTTAAATTAGAAAGTAACTTATAATTTGTTTTTATTATTTTGACTATTTAATCAAACTATATTCTTGTTTATGTATCTCTGAGGCTCCTTAGCCCACATTTTTGTCTTTCTGTATTATTCTAAAGGGACTCATCCCAGAATAAATAAAGCATTATTATTATGCAATCGGTTACCGACACCCATATGCTATGCTCAACTCAGCTCAGCTGCACTTTCGGTGGCCGGTCAGCCTAAGGGTATGGGCAAATCTTCTCTTATGGGCAGGGATGGATCTTGCTTGTTCGTTCCAAATAGAATTTCTCTCATTAGACCTGAAAAGAGAATGTTAACAAGTTGTAATATTCATAAAAAAAAAATTATAATGATGTAGAGATGGTTGACCGTTGATATGATATGAGAAGGAATTAGTCGAGGGTGCGGTCAAAAAAATAAAAAAAATTAAAATATATAAATAATTTTAATTTTTGCCGACGTTTCGACCCACTTTGCAGGTCGTCTTCAGGGCTACAAAAGATACAAACATGTTGAAAATATAAAAATAAAATAAAAAATAAATATAAGTATATATAAATTACGAAGAAGTTGTCAGATACAGAAATAAAAGATAAAGAAAATAAATACATGATAAGAAAATAGATAAAAGAAAATAAATACATGAATGTTAACGAATAAATGAATGTTAACGAATAAATTGATTGAAAATTGAATAACAATTGTTACAGTAAAGTTAAAATATGGATTATGGATTATGGATTGGATTGGTATTGTTACAGTAAAGTTAAAATATGGATAAGATAACATTATAATAAGATATCAGTGGATAACAAGCAAGTGGAGGTTACCTTTAATTGTAAATAAACAGATAACTACCAAAGGTTAAGAAGTGAATCTTAACCTATTAATCTTTAATCTTTCAATTTCATCTTTCATCTTTAATCTTTAATCTTTAATCTTTCAATTTCTTCACTTCTTAACCTTTGGTACGTTATCTGTTTATTTACAATTAAAGGTAACCTCCACTTGCTTGTTATCCACTGATATCTTATTATAATGTTATCTTATCCATATTTTAACTTTACTGTAACAATACCAATCCAATCCATAATCCATAATCCATATTTTAACTTTACTGTAACAATTGTTATTCAATTTTCAATCAATTTATTCGTTAACATTCATTTATTCGTTAACATTCATGTATTTATTTTCTTTTATCTATTTTCTTATCATGTATTTATTTTCTTTATCTTTTATTTCTGTATCTGACAACTTCTTCGTAATTTATATATACTTATATTTATTTTTTATTTTATTTTTATATTTTCAACATGTTTGTATCTTTTGTAGCCCTGAAGACGACCTGCAAAGTGGGTCGAAACGTCGGCAAAAATTAAAATTATTTATATATTTTAATTTTTTTTATTTTTTTGACCGCACCCTCGACTAATTCCTTCTCATAAAAAAAAATTAATTGAAAATATAATCGACGTAATCTCAAATAAATTCCAATATACTTTGAAATCAGAAGAAGTATTTAATATTTTCTCAAAAATGTATATCACATCTATATTTTTTTTCAGGTACTCCAGGGCGATTGATTGACCACGTAAAACATACAGCTTCACTTAATCTTTCCCAGGTGTCTTGGTTAGTTCTTGATGAGGCTGACAAATTACTGGAAATGGGTTATGAGAGAGATGTCGGGAGGTAAGAGTTGATGATTTTGTTTAATTATTCAAAAGATTGATATTTGTGTTGTGCACAAGCCCTACCTTGCCTTGGATGATAGTATTTTTTAATAATTCTTAATTTTGTTTTAACTTTTATCAGATTACATACTTCTTGAAACAAGTATATTTCTAGGAAAGGGCTTATGTATCGTCCTTAATAATGATAGAAATATGACAACGCATTGCATGCATGATGATATTTTTTCATTTTGACCAGTTCATCATCCTTATAGGTACATTCCATGCTTAAGTAGAGAATACTTTTAGCGGAGGGAACGACAATTGTTAATGATTCCAACCAAAGGAATGTATCCCTTGGAAAGTTAAGATTCGTTTTAGGAGAAATGGGTGCTAAAATTAAGAGGGGTGTCAGATTGATGCAAAAGCGATTTTGGTATTTGTTTTAGTGAATGTATACGTGTTTATGTAAGCAATATATATAGAATCAATCAAAATTGGGTTAGCAGTGATCAGTACTTATATTAGATTTGATTACAATCAATAAACCAAATGTGAATTTTCAGTTCTGGTAACAATATTTTTTTATTTCCTGAATGATTAAAACACTGCTCTATCTTTTGTAATGAGTTTGTAAAATATAAAATTAATCTACTTTTTTTTTTGGCCATCTCTTCCTCACCTTTTAGACTCTGCTGGGATTTTCCCGGGCTGAGGGAGAGGGCGGGGGTTAATGCTAGAGTTAAAAGCTCCTACGACACCGGGAGGGAAATTAGTTATCATAATAGTTTATCTGGTAGCCAGGCAACCAGGGTGCTGTGCCCATCCCCGCTCAGCCATCCTGCCCTCAAAATTAATCAACTTTTTCTATTTTTTTTTGGATAGCCCCCCCCCACCATTTCTTGTATACAGCGGTGTTGTTCTAGAGGTACAACTAAACTTATTCTAACCATAGTGGGACGGTTGAGTTTCATTCCATGGGTTCGCCACGAAATAAAAGTCAACCCCTCCCAGGCCGGATTCGCTAGGCACGATGATACTAAAACGGGCAATGCTCCAACATACTCGGCCATCACAACTGTAAAACGTTATTCAATTAATAAATAGTCTATTATTGGTTTTATGCCAACTTATGTAAGTCTCCTCCTGAATTCAATACATCCCCTTTGCATGTTGTGTTAAAATTGTTTTATATATATATATATATATTTTTTTTTTATTGTACATTTACTTTTATGAAATATCCATTTTCAAAATGTAAACACTTTCTTTTAATTGTAATGCTATACCTAAAATGTTTGTTTTATTGCTAATTAAGCTTACTTGAAAGCTTGGATAATGTGGCTGAAGTGAAACGACAAACAGTGTTGTTGTCGGCAACCTTAACACCAGGAGTTGAAAGGTTGGCAGGCCTGGCCTTGGATAGCCCAGCTCGTATAGATTCATCAAATGCTGAGGAGAATGATGAAGCTCTCGTTGTACCAAATACACTTGAACAGATTTATATAATTGCCAATGCCAAACTTCGTCTTGTTTCTCTCTCTTCGTTCCTTCTTCATGTCTGTCAGGTATTTAGTTAATAATTAATATTTAATAGAATAGAAACTTCTAAAAAATGTATATGGATTTTTTTTTTTTTTTTGTAATTTGCTATAAAAACAAATTTTTTTTAGATTTAGTATTTATTTATAAATCTTACAATTTGATCTTAAAATTCAACCACATTAAAGTAGAATAAGGTTGTTATTTAAGCATATAAGTTAGTAAATTACTTTCATTGAACTTTGCTGTGAACATTTTATTAGAAATGTTTTATTTGTAATTGTATTGTGTGGGGATCGGCTGAACAAATTCTTACGAGTATTTTCTGGTTGAAAGTCAATATTAATTCAAAACCTGGGGGCAGAATTTTGTTTGTAAGGATATCTCTGCTAATGAAAGAGATTGATGTGCATTCATAAATGGGTTGATTGCATATAATTTGTTACCATATACCTCATAGCTAATACCAAATATACAGGTTTCATCAGGTGGTTACTATAAATTAAAAAGACAATTTTATCTCCGTTTTTTAACCATGCTATTACTTCTCAGGTGGAAGGTAGCAGTAAGGTCCTTGTGTTCATGGCCACTCAAGACATGGTCGACTACTTCACTGAGATCCTGCCAAGGGTAATGGATCCTGAGGTTGAACTCTTTAAACTCCATGGAAACATGTCTCATTCTGATAGGACGGAAGTGTTCAAATCTTTCAGAGCAGCAAAATCGGGAGTTCTTTTCAGTACGGTGAGTGTATCTTCAAAATTTTTTCTTAAAATTTATTAATTATAAGATAATGATATCCTGATTAGATCTGGATTCATCTGAAATTCTATTCCTTATTCATTTATTTATTTTTAATTTTTCTCAATAACATCCCTCGGTTGACTTCTAGAATTCTGATTAAAACTACGGAGTCATCCTCAATTAATATCTGTTATTCTGGACTAATCATATTTCTCAAATTAGCTGAAAGTCTATCAGTTTCTTAAACATATCGAAAGTTACACGATATCTTGCCTCTTGATACTGAACAGATCCTTGATTATTCAAAACTTTTACTTGGGTTACCTGGTCTTTATTTTATAAACTGGAATAAGATTAAAATTATTGATGAATTTTTTCATTTGATTCACTTAGTAGTTCGCCAGATGGTGGATGTATTTATAGCTAGTTTATTGGGTGTCTTTGTTTTCCTATTAGAGGATTGTACTTTCTTCAATTCATTTTTTTTGTGGCCCAAAATAGAATGACACATCTATTTTGCACAATACTTTTGGATATTCTAAGTTTTAGTTGAGATATACTTATACATTTTACTAGCACTTAACATATAGTTAGTTTGTTGATGTAACATAATTCTGTAATGTTTGCTTAGTTTTTCTTTTCAGTCTAATGTGAATCTTTCATATTACTATCTGAATTAAAAATAGATTAATTATTATTGGATTAATACAGATCTATTTCTTTGTTATAAGTAATTACACTTGTTTGACAATAATATGCTAAATTGTTCTTAGGAAATAAGTTATTCCTGAATAAGGATTATATTTCATTTTAGATATCTGTTTTTGATATTTAGGATGTTGCTGCCAGAGGTCTTGATATGCCACTAGTCGACTGGATTGTACAATACAATGCACCCAGGGATCCATCAGAATATGTTCACAGGTGAGCTTTAATATGGTCTATATTAACTTAGTTCTGTTTGAGTAATATTCGCGAAGGGAGTCTGTCAGTCAGAAAATTCGGAACTATGTTATGGATTATGTATGATTGGGAAACATCTGAAATTAGTTGTGAAACCACAATAAATCCTGCAAAAGTCAGAAAAGTTACTTTGAGTTCTCAACAACAAGCATTAGCCCATTCGGCCACCCTACCCCTCATGGGGAGGTTTTATTGGTTATAACTTTTATTACATATGCATTGATTTTTGTTTATTCTTTTCAATAATGAATATTCATTATCGAACAAGAAAAAAACCCTCCTCACCAGTTTTAAAATTTGAGTCTCTTGTTTTCGAGATACATAGAATACAAACTTAGGTGCCTGTTTTTTTGCCTGCGGGCCACATTGACACTGGGACTAAGTTCTGTGGGCTGTATTGAGATCAAGTCCCGTGGGTTATGGGTTGTGATGAAAAAAAATTGTATTCTATAAATGACACTTCAGTTATGAAATCACCTTTCTACGAGACAAAGCACATGCAATAAATGTTGTAGTAACCTTGTGTGTGAGTAATTTACTGAATTTGATATTTTTAAATAGTTTTTAAATTTTCTATTTAATCAAAGGAGCTTTCGCAGGCCGGATTGAAGGTGCTTGTAAGCTCCCCCGCGGCCCATAGTTTGGAGACCACTGTTCTATAGCTTCAATTATACTCTGTCTCGTATTTTTCCATAGATGTTAATCATAACTATTTTCCCTTTAGGAGAAGGAATATACATTTTAGAATGCATACATCAATTACCTTTGTTTATTTAGTAATCAACTAATATATAGCTATCAACCATATACATTTTCAATTTTTAATTTATTGTATGAGGAGAATTAATATTTAGAATTTTCTTCCCTATTTAATTAGTACCATATTCAAAGTATAGATTTGAGCTGAAGTTAGTTTTCATTTTTGCTGTTTCACTAATAATATTATCCTCTCCCCAATATTTAGTCTTACTTATCAACATCTAAAAAAAAAGAAGGTCTTAGTGTTCCTGTCGGTCTTAATATTAACTTCAAAAAATGAGATTGATTGTATAGTGAGAATATTTGCCATAATAGAGTAAACTTAACAAATGAAAGTATTTCCTTAAAAATTATTGATTAGAAAGTTCTGGAAGAGTGAAGGAATCAGGACTTCTGTCAGAATGTGGATAGATTTCAGAAAGGATTGATCAAGTCTGGCTGAGTTTGGTTATGCTTTCTAAGTGGGTCCTAGTAGAATTAATTTTTAAGTTGTATAAAATCGTTCAAAATTCTAATTTTGTAAAAATACATCATGATATATTTCTTTACAAATATTTTGTGACAAAACATAGGCTGTTTTCATTTGTGGAAAATGAATACCTACACTTAAATATTAAAAATAAATATATCATCACTATTTCGAATCATTGGATTTATTATTTATGTTGTTTTTATTACTATTATTAATAACTGTATTGAACTAAATTTACTTTGCTTTCTTTGATAGAGTTGGCCGAACAGCTAGAGCTGGGACGAAAGGACATTCTGTTATTTTCCTCTTGCCTTCAGAAACACAATTTCTCCAATGGCTGGCTAATAAGAGGATAAAGTAAGCTTTTGTTTTCCTCCTTTATATTGCATTGAATTGTGTTATTTTACAATGTAATTTAATATTAGCAGATAAGCTAAAATATTTATAAAATAATATAATTAAATAAACTTATCATAGCCTTTGAAAAAGTTAATGATGAAAATTCTCAATCATCAGTTACCACATTCCGAAAATGCTTATCTAACACTTATTTAATATTGTTTCCACCACGTCTAAATAACAAATGTGAAAAAATTTATTTAATGGAATCAATTAATTTACCAGAAGCACTTTTGTAAAATAAAATCTTGTAAACATAAATCTAAGACTCAAAGAATTAAAAAGATCACAAGAAATTATTAATTCCTAATGGGTAAGTTAAGTGTAAAACATTAAGTTCTATATTGTTATCCTGAAAAGTAGCTATATTCGCAAACTTTGCTTTGACTTGGTGAAAATTATTTTATTAAAAGAAAAAAATTTTATTTTGGTTTTATTAGAATAGCATTATCACTAAAACTACCAACTTGCGTTAACTACTAGTTTTACTAAAGAATAATTATATTTGTTCAGATTGAAGGAAGTGAGCATAGAAAAATATCTTGGATGCTTGAGCGAAATAGAAGCTGCTAATAATAGTGAGGTACATTACTTAAATTATTACTATACTAGCTAAAATGGTTGAAATATTTTATTGATGTTATTGTAATATAGTTCAGTACTTACAAATGGCCAAGAATTGTATCTATTGTTTTATTTCCCCCAGAAATACGGAGGTGGTTTAGAAGGGGCTATAACTGCTCTTCAACATACTTTTGAAAATACCATCCAAGATGATGATAATCTACATGACTTAGCCCGCAAAGGTAAATATCAGGTTACAATCTTACCATAATTTTTAGATATTTATTGCATAAAACATGGAGTAAGGTCATAAATTATATTATTCAAAACATGACAACAGGTATTAATGTATATTTTACTAGCAACATATGGTCTCCTATTGGGAAGGCTGATATTATTTCATCATTCAATTTAAACTACTTACAAAATAAAAAGACAGAAAATTAAATTTAAAACATACATCTTAGCAGTTCAGAAAAGGATCATCTCTCCTATTTAATTAATTCAAATCAGATTTTGAGAAAAAGTTTATCTTTTAGTAAGTATCCTTAAACATTTCTTTTTTTTTTCAGCTTACACATCATGGGTAAGATTCTACATGAGTTACCCAAAAGAAGCGCGGACAGTGTTCGACTTTAAAATGCTTCATCTAGGTCACCATGCTAAAAGTTTTGCCCTTACTGATGCACCTACAGCTATTGGTGGACGTGGCAAAAATAAAAAGTATGTTGTACTTTATATTTTATATATATTAGTAGAAAAATAAATAATTTAGTATATGGGTGATTCTAAAAAAAACAACTTAATTTTCGGTGTTTAAATTTTGTGCAAGTGAACCATCAACAGTGGCTCCCTGGAATCGTAAAGAAATTTATGCAATGTAAGATAGAACTCAAATAATTTTTTCGGTCCGATTTTATTTTATTGATAATATTTTATTTTGTATTTAAAATAAGAAATAATATTATACTTAATAAATAATATTATATTTATAAATAATAATATTATGTTATATAGAACCAATAAAAAATGTCATTAGATATTTTCAAAAATAAAAACTTCAAATTTGTTAGCTGAAAAAGTTCCTTTTTGTAACATGGTGTCATTTACTTCGACATACACAATTTAGATTAGCCCCTTAGACAAAATTAAAAAAAAAAAATGTTTAAAAGTTTTTATAGCGAAATATCTCATTTTACAACATTTTTTCATAACAACACACATTTCATCATTACCACTAAACAATGATTTGTCTATGAGTGGGATTGATGCATGGTTATGAGAGGAATTGATGTACGGTTATGAGAGGGACTGATGCGAGGTAATGAGAATTTGAAGTTTGCGAGTTTACCAACACTAATTGGTTAGGCAGATCTTAAAAAAGAAAGCTTTTATTTTAAGAAATAACCATGGAATCATAAAAAAAAATTAAATAAAATTGCAAAAGAAGTTTGGTAATGAGGCTAATAAATATACCCGCTAGAGTAGCGTCTTTCCACAATGGAAGTTGAACAATAACTGTTCGAAACTGGTTTTCCGTGCTGCAGCAGTGTTGTTCGTACAATATGATCACACAGGTTGTATGAAATTCCCTCTTGTAGGTCTTATAACAGAAAATATCAATAGATATTGTAATTAGAGATTTTATAGTAAGAAACTTTCACATCAGTTATTAATATTACCAGTTACATTAAAAATACATATGAATTCATAGCTGAATAGGGCTTTCTATGAACTTTTAGTTTTATCAGCTTTTTCCATAAAAACAATGTTTTATAAGGTCTCAGATAAGAGTTTTTAAACCAATTGATTTCGTTACAGATGGTTGTAATGATAATTGAGTACTTTAAGACTACAAAAAAAAAAAAGTTTATTGAAAATGAAATACTTTTTTTTAATGGATGTTGTAGACAGTGATAAGAAGAATGAAATAAAAATATATATATATTCATATAACACGTCCAGTTAAAATAATTACTCATGTTACACTATCATTGAGTTTTTTTTTGAGAATCATCCATATTTAAATGAATTTTTTTAGAAAAATATAAATTAGCAATGTTTATTCTATTTTTTTTCTCTAATTTCATAGAAGGTATTAATAATTTGAAAGAAAGGAATTATTATTTATCTCAAAGAAAAGACTCTAGTTAATGTAAGAATGGTAGGTCCATTATACTGGTTAAAAGACCAAGCGGTAGAAGAGGGGCGGGTGTAGTTAAGGTCAACAATTGTCCATCTAGTATAGACTGTTACTAACACTATAATCAGGTTGTTAACTTACCAGCCAGTGGTCTTCCGTCAGCTTGCGTCCTTCAGTGGGCTTTTTGTTCCGTACTGTCAATGTTGAATGGATCATGTATGCATCCAATTATATAAGGATGGAGTGGAATTATTTAAGAAATGGTTAAAATGTTCCTGTTGTTGAAAAGTCCTTGGCTTGTTTTTTAAAGTATAAAAAAACAAAAATTATCAATAAGTATTGTCTTGAATATAGGTCGACACTATTATAAGTCAATTCCCCATTTTGAAAATAATTTTCAGGAGAAAATATGGGAAATGAAAACTAGTTCTTCATATCTTAAAAATATTATGATGAAGTTTTTAAAATTAGAATATCAGTACCAACCTAAACTGTAATTGTAGTTGCATAAAAAAGTAGTTTTATGAAGAAAAGAATAGTTGGGGTGGTCAGTCAAAAAAGGAAGGCAAAAATAAATGATAATATTTATTTTTACATATGCCGACGTTTCGACCTGAAGTTCAGGCCTTCATCAGGGCTGTCTCCTTAAGTGTTGCAGGGAGAATGAAAGAAATTATTATTTATTCTAAGAAATTATTATTATATTTTATTTTTATTATTTATTTATTTATTATTATTATACTTTCGATTCTCCCTGCAACACTTAAGGAGACAGCCCTGATGAAGGCCTGAACTTCAGGTCGAAACGTCGGCATATGTAAAAATAAATATTATCATTTATTTTTGCCTTATTTTTTGACTGACCACCCCAACTATTCTTCTCTTCATTATCCACGGCAGTCAACCATTTACCAATTATGAAAAAAGTAGTTTTAGTTCTTTTATTTCCATCAGGTGACATTTTTTAATTTAATCATTTTTAATATTGTGGAATGGTTTAAAACAAAAGAAAAATAAAGGATTCAAATGGAAACTAATCAGTTTAATTTGTTTCGGTTTGTCTCCAAATTCGACAAATTTACTTATTTGATTATTTTTGTTTTTAGTAACTCTATTTTCATTAATCTTCTCTTTTACTTTCATGTAATCTTTGTTTCGTTCTCGATTGTGAGTTTAAGTATTTTAAGAATCTTTCCTGATTCTTTTCTTATAGTTTTTTTATTATATTTTTGCTATAAAAAATGTGTGATAATAAATAAGTTATCACTTATATTTGAGGTGTAGGAATTTCAAAACCAGCTAATTCCATTTTTAATCAGTTGGTGCTGAGATATCACGAGATTGTGAAAAGTTTATGATCAGTTGGACAGATCAATTGATAGTTGTCCCAAGAACTGTACAAAGGTGCCCATGGAGGATTTCAGGGTGAAAATAGATAAAGAGCAAATCTTAAAACCAACTATAGGGATGTACACTCTGCTTGACAATACACGTGAAAATGACCACCTGCTCGAAATATTTCCTGCCTAAAGAAGGTCCTGGTGGTCACTAATGAACAATGAGCAATGAATTATATTGACAATATTTTGATTTGTTAGAGGTGTAGGTCTAATTTGATGAGCTTTAGATTCTATCAAGAAACTAACACAGTAATATCCAAGATCAGAGCTTATCCAATGTAGAAAAATCAAGGAAAAGGAGGATAGTGTTGTCCAAGCTTAAAGACCCAGAAGTGAATGAGGGTATTGCTGAAAGGTAGATGAAATGTTTTAGGTACGATTGATGTCCCTGTCCATGAATAATTGGATATTTGATATGGAAATCATTGGCTTGGAAGAAGAAATATTCAGATATCTATGGTTTGATGTAGATTGTGTTACAGCTTCTGAAGCAAAAAACAAACAAAAAGTTCTAGTTTAATATATACACACTAATTTGTGTTTAGGCCATAAGAAACTAAGCAATAAATGCATTAAAATTAAAATTTTATAATTTAAATTGCTTTTTATTCTGAGATAAAAACAAAATACACATTTCACTATACCAGTTTTTTTTTTTTTTTAATTTTTAGTAAAATACTTCGATTCAAAATAAATCAATATTTACATTTTGTTGTTTAGACCTCTTGGTTTTTTATGCCCTGAATCAATAATTATGGTTATGAATTCTATTTTATGTATGCATGTTTCAACCAATCATGTTAGGTGTACAGTAAACTTGATTAAGAGATGGTGGTTGTGTGTTGATAGTTGGGAAGATAATAAAAAGTTTAGTTGTTTTTTGTTTGTTTGAACTTGAAAATATCAGTGGTAACAAACACATCATCCATTTGAGATGATTTGGGAACTTTTCTCTGCTATAGAACTGTATTATTTGCTCATTCTTTTGTTAGATTCGTCCTGTACAAAAAGTTTGTCAGGAAGCCATCAGCTTGCTCTCTGAAGGGGGATGGAGTTGCTGAGCAGGCTTACACATGTGCAAAGAAAGCATTTCCCAGCAACCTGATAAACCAAAGACAATATGGTTGCTTCATATTGAAGATTGACATCTGTCATCTTAAAGAAGTGGAGAAAAAGTCAAAGTTTGTTTTTTGGGTTGAACTCCGACAATTTCTGATGATTTCATTTAAGAATGTTCAAGTTAAATCATGAAAAAATATCATTAGAATTTGTCTTTTTCTCAACTTTTTAAAAATGTTATATGTCCGTCTTTGATATAAGGTCACCAATATGATAAAATAATTATGAAGTTCGGTCCCCACGACCCTTAGGGGAAAAACCACATATATCCCGAACGGCGAGAAAGGGAAGGACAAAAAAAATTGATCTCCGGAATTATACAGCCTTGTTTTCAAAATGTTTTATGCGAATTATTCAATTTTTTTAGAGGTAACTTTTAATCTTCCCGCTCAAGTACTCCTCATTTTGCACTTTTTGAACGTCATCAGGGATATCTTCGGGTTCAGGTCAATAGAAGTGCGAAAATGAAAGATCATCTGAAGATGGTTGAAAGCTGCTATTTACTCATAATAGTATATTATAAAAAGGAATGCCGTATTGATTAATTTAGTAAGTCCATGTTTGCGACGCCTTTAGTTACTAGTAGATGATAAAAGTGTTATAAACTATTGAAACGGTATAAGCTTTTGTTAAAATTGTTGAGATTCGTCTAGATTCATTAGAGGACCCTAGGAATGCTTGATGCGTTTTGTCGTCTTTGTAATTGTGGCTACAGTGATAATATCCTATTAAGATTATGATCCTCCAAGGTGAAAGGACACGGTGATAGGTATGGTAGTGGTCCTATTTAGCTGCAAATCAATATGCCGACGACGCCACCCCACAGACCTCCCAGTAGTTGAGCAAGGGTTGCTGCAGAACACCCCATAGCAATCACAGATTGGTCTCGGGCATTAGGGGCAGGCTTGGTTAAGACGTTGCAACAGCACGTGGGAGCACATTCTATTAAGAACTATTGAACTGGCAGTTGTTCTCGAGGTTGAAACCGCTTTTGCGACGTGCCATCTTTCCCCGGAGAGAGAGGAGTCCGATCTTTTTTCTCCACTCTGGGGCCGTTTGCT